TAATTCTATCTAATAAAATCAGTCTTTCTTAAACTCATAGTTATGAACAGAATTATTTCCCCACTGTCAAATATTTTTTAATGAAATAAAAATCTAATCTACAGAAACAAGCAACAATTCTGGGGAAAGTAAAGCAAGTTTATAGAAAGTTACAAGCTTAATATAAATAATTTTGTTATTTCACAGTCTTGGAAGAACTTAACAAGCATAGAAAAATAAATACCTTTTTAAATATCCCTAGATTTATCCTTTGATCTAGTTTTTTTTTTTTTGGATTACATACTAAAGAAATGTTATAAGTATATTCATGCTTCTGTGCATATCATTTTTTAGAAAATGTTATTATAAATTAAGCTGTTGAATGTAACATACTTGCTTTTCTTGTGGAAATATTCCTCCCCACCTACCCCCCACTCCCGACAGATGCATACATTATATCATGTACTAAGGTCAAATATAAAGTAACTTAAATATTCTTTTAAGTCTTTAGCATTAACTTAATAGTGCTTTCATGCTATCATAGTCCCAAATCTGCTATTTATGTCATACTCAAATGAGAGCTTTCCTTTCATATTGTGTTTGCTATCTTTCTTAAATAGTATAAGTTGAGTAACCCAAGAAATTATTCTTATTTGAGGCATTGTATAAATGCGTTATGTCAATTGGTTTATTCCTTTCAAGCTTCTTGATAATTAAGTTATTGGTTAATTAATTCTTAATCCTCTTGTTAAAAATCTTCTCTCTAAATATATTTTGTATTGGTACATATTGCATGTTTTATATTGTTGGGGTAATTAAGTCCAAGAAAATAAGGAAATATTCAGGGTTTGAGGCATTCTGATTGTTACTTAGTAACTCTAACTAGTTATCTGAACTATTTTTATTAGAAAATTGTGGCAACTTTATAAGGCAGTGAATTTTTATCTCTTGACAAAATTCATAGTTTTGGCTTTATGGCTTTATGAGCTTTTAATTAAAAAGTAGCATTAAATTAGTCTTCCCTAATTTAAAATCCATTTAATGGATTTGGGGTATCCTAATAAAAAAACATGTTATCATTCTATAAATGCAAACAGGAAACATTCTATGAAACCAAACAGGGAACAATCAAAACAAAAACTCAGAAGTTTTTTGTGAAATTAAAATTGAACTACAAAGGTAGAAGACTGGACAATCTGATTTGCCTGTTTATTTGCAACAGCATTTGACATATTTTAAATTTAAATGATTAATTAAGAAATTACATTGCAACAGAAAGTTTTAAGAGCCTTTTATGTAACTTAATACAATGCTATTTGAGACTGCCAGCAGACTCTTAAAACTCCTGGACACCAACTCTCTTCTCTTCTGGCTTTCCTCCTAGTCATGTCTTGGCCACTATCCAGAGCTGACAACTTTCACCCAGGAGTGAAGGGAGATTTGTCTAGTATAAGAAGGATTTTTAAGCCATCCTTGATTTTCATATCCAGATGGGCAAGGAGGAAGGGTGGCAATATCATTGTACGTACTTGGGTAATGTCATGGTGCCACACATGCACTATAACCATTAATTTATGATTTTGGTGAATCCTGAATGTCCTTATTCAAACATTCCTTATTTGAAACTGTAATGTAACAACTTCAAAATTAACACAAAATTATGTTCAAATTTAAGTAACTGATGCACAAATACCTCTACTCCTCCTTTTCCAACTATATGCTGAAGACGAAAGAGGTTTCACATCTTAACTAATAACATAAAAACATTTAGAATCTGTTAGGTTGAGAATGTGGATGTTCCAGTTTCAAAACCTCTTCTCAGATCATTATGCTCAAGCTTTCTGAACACTGCTGGTTATATTATGATAATTTGTTATCCATAGTGTGTTCCTCCTAAAGTGAAGTGTGATTATTATGCTGTTAAGGATTTTTTTAAGCTGTTAATTTTAAATTCTTTTAAGTAAATTCACCTACCTTTACCTAAAGGACCATTTAGGATTAACATTATAATTTGAGAGACCTTTTTACAAGAATGGTTTTAAGGTAAGATTACATCAGTAGACCATATTCTTTATGGATCTTGGAGATGCAGAAGCAATCTGTAACACTTTTTTTAACTTTAAAAAAAAAAAGGTGTATTTATATGCCCAAATACCTTTTATGCTTCTACAAAAAACTAGAAGATTGAATGAGTTTATAGTAAAAATAAAAGTTATCTCAGAAACTTAGATGTTATTCTTATATAATCTACATTGCTCTTTATTCTATAGATATTTTTCAGATGTCTGTATAACTTTCACAGTTAATCTAGTTTGCCACATTATATAAACTATTTGCAAAATAGCTGTGCAGAAAAGCAGGAAGGTCACTGTTGTGTAAATATTTTATGGTAACAGTATGATTAAAAGTTTATTCTTGTTCTAATACTTCATATAAGTTTTTAAAATGGAATTTAGTTTGCAGTTAATAATTGTGATGTAAACCTATGGTACTTGGAAATATAAAAAATGAAATACATGAACGAGTTTCTGAGAAATTTTGAACTCCAGGCTGTATATAACTTTTATATTTGAAATTCATTAGATTTACTCTTCAAAGTGGGTAATTGACTTTTTTAAATTTCACACAAATTACCTTAAAAAGACCTATAAAGTTGATAAAATTACACACTGTAAAATGGTTTATTAATAAATTTTAAGATTAGATGAAGGTAGGAAACTCTCTTTGAAATAAACAAATGTCAGGTTGACTATTTAAATATAGATTACCTTGCTTATATACTACTAGAATGGAAATTAATCTCATCTTTAAACCTTACAATTTGTATTATTCATATAATTGAGAAAGCTCTAGTTGGTAACACTGAAATCTTGAATACTTGAGTTCTAACAAAAAATTGACTTTATTGTTTTGCATTCAGATATTTAGATACAAAGGCTTAGTCTTTTATTTATAGATAAAAGGAAATCTGACCTTTTGATTAAGAAATATTATCAGTAGTCTTTATAAGTGCTTGTTCATCTGAGGGTCCATGACAGGAGTACTCTTCCCAGTTGAGTTTATCCTAAAAATGAAATGATAAGAGCCTGCTGGTTGTTATCCAAGATTCTTCTTAATGGGGAAACCACATGGTTATTCTTCATCTCCCACTTGTTCTCACCCTTTACTACCAGCCCAGCCACACCCCACCCCCACCCCAACATTGTTCAGTACTCAGCACAATGAATCATTTTCAAGTTGACTCATTGTGAACTGTATCCCAGCTGTTGGAATGTCTGGCAGACATTTTTGTTTGGGTGAAGAATAACTGGCTGAAACCCAACCTGGATGAGTTTGATATAATGGTCTTTGGCTAAAGAAATATTGAGAGGAACATGTTTATGGCCCTGAAGCCCCTGTTATTCCTGGAGTAGGACCATCCCCTGTGGCACAGAACTGAAAGTAAGGAATCAATCTGGATTATTTTCTCACCATTGAATGAAAAATTGCCTTAGAAAAAATAGACATTTCCAAATTATGTCTGTTTTTTTATACTGATTGTGCCCACGTGATTGAAAGTATTAAAAGACAATTAAGAATAATTATTTTTACTGGTTCTTTTTAAGAGCACTGATTCAAAGGCTGAAACATCCTTTATATAACACACATTCCAATTTATGGAGGAGTTTCAAATATTGCCATAGGTGTGAGTTAACTAGTCATTCCAACAGAATGTTTGGTCACAGGCTACTATGTATTTCATACCGAGTCAGGTAACATTGACCAGTCCTCTTTTATTTTTCATTCTTATGTAATCTTTGTAAGGGGATTTAAAAACTAGAGGAATACTAGTAACCTCAGTAGTCAATCATATTTTAAGAAACGAAAATCTTTGATTATATTTGGCCTCTTCTCTAACAGGGGACATAGTGTCAGACTGTAAATTTTCTGGACCATTTGACATTTCCCATCTTTTCTTCAAAGATTAATTTTAAACTGGTGGGTATTACCAGTATATAAAACAGGAGTTTCAAAATTACAAAATTTTACAAACAATATTTTCAATTTATCTAAATCTTCAGAGCAAAAAATTTTGTAAGGTATAATAGCATACAATCACAGTTTTCTAGTCTATCACTCTGTCAGGGGCTAAAAGGAATTTCCATTAAATAAAATAATTTTTGAAAACCTACCGGGTTATTTGATTATTATATTTTTATATCCATGAAATAAATTCTGAGCATTTTAAAACTCGTGCTACTTAATAACTGGGCATACTGTATTTGGAAACATATTAATATGTTATTTTAATCTAGCGAAATGTGACATTTCTTAAGATGTATTTAGCAGTATATTTCAGTTTATCTTGGGTTGCTTTGGGGGAAAAAAAGGTAGGCTCCTGGTCTAAGTATTAGTCATCACCATCTTTTCTTTGCCTTTATTGTTATCCCAGAGCCAAATAGCAGCATCTGGAAGGAGAAAACAGAAGACTCCAGAGCTAGCCATGTTGCAGTCTCTTAGCTGGACCCTTCCATGTTTCTAATATGTCACAGAGGACCTCAGCTGTTATAGGGCTGGGACCTAGTCCCAGCTGACAGACGACAATGAGACCCTTGCCTTACTTTATACTGTACTATCTACTGTTTCTGAGTCCTGCTGTCTGCCAGATTTTCCAATATGCAATGGGCAAAGTAATTCAAAAAAATTATAATGTATGAGAATAAAGATAGCCTTGCTCCTTAAGATAAGTAGAAAATAATGCATTTATGTTTTCCACCAAAACTAATCAATTAATGTCTTCTACCAAGTTATGATTTCCCTTCAACTTTCTCTTCAAATTAAAATAGCGTACCTACATGGGTCGGAATTTTCAATTGAGAGCGTATTTTCTTCCAATTTTCAGCCTGTACTAGCTTTAATTTTTTACGTATTTCTCTTTGTCGATAGTCTATACTACAATTTGTCATTGAGGTGGGACATTATATAGATGTTATATTTTTAAACATAACATTTAACATGACTTTTGTTTTCATGTTTTGCAGAATAAAGCAATTATTGCTCGTGTTACAAATTTGTCAGATACAGTAGTTGGTCTGGAATCATTTATCGGTTCTGAGAGAGAAACCAACCCTTTATATAAAGATTATCATGGTAAGCAGCACCTCTATAATGAGAAGAGCATATCCTAGCTTCTGGAAGCACCCTGTCCTGTCAGAATATCTGCTGTCAATTAGTATGAATTTTATTTTATAATATACCTGTTAAATGTTTTCCATTTCTGGCCAATCTTCCTCAACAGTTTATCCTCAAACTTCATTAAGACTACAGACCATGATAACTGATGGAAGTCAAATCCAAGTACTAAGGCATGGCTAAGTCATATGTACATTTTGTTGTCCCAGTGGCTTAAAGTTGCCATGAAATCAGTCATACTTGTTAGCTGTGTTTGAAATAAATATCATGTTAATTCTAATAATAACAGCTTTGTATAGCAATTTATACTTTACAAAGCTTAGTTGTGTGATAAGATACATACTGAATTGTATTTTAAAATTCCTAGTTCACATTCAGTCACATTTTCAGAAAGTGAATATCTTTGATTACATTTGGACTTTTCTCTGTTTAGTCATTTTGTTGTTAGAGTTATGAACAAATTTTAAAATATTGCCACCCTGATATAAACAGAGGCAAATTCATCAGACTTTTACTTACTTTTTTTTTGCTTTGGATAATACTTTAGTCATTTGGTTAATTTGAAGATTTTTAATATAGAAATTCTTACATAGAACCATTTGAATAGTAAAGGTTTAATAGTTAGGTCTTAGTATCTTAGGTCTAAACTAAATATAGAATGTGGTGAATAACAGATTTTTACCTGTTTATTTATTCTGAACATACATAAATTATTGATGTTATTATTGTGGAACTACTATACTTCCATGGAAACCTCTGAAGACTGATGAGCTTATTTGAACCCTGCTAAAAAATTGTGTAAGACTGTGATTATCTGAGACTGTGGCAGGTTTTTTGTTGGTTTACATATTAAAGTCTACAAAAGAAGTATTAAAGATTATAAGATATTTTATATGATATTCAGCCAGTGCTTTGAAGAGTCATCATACAGCGTTTAAAAAAATAATAATATAAGCTGTGAACAAAAGCTACTGTAAAATAGTTTGCTTCATTATTATTTACTTGCATAAGTGTGCATATGGTATATGCCCAGGTTAACTCTATATATGCCTCATTTAATATATTATTTTCATTATGATAGGAAAAGATCTGTTAAGATTTAACTATTTTTTTAATTTATTATTTCCATTTACTTTTAAGACAATTCAAGTTAAATCTTACTTTAATAAATTACATATTGAATATCATGTATAAGTATCATAAGCTTGTGAATTTAATAAAATTATATTTCATATTCTAAAAAAATTATTTTGATTAAAAAATTTTAAAGGTTGAAAGGCTATGATTCTTTGTGCTGAAATCTTTGAATTGATAAATTATTCCCCACAGAGTAATAAGTGATTGTAATGACTAGTAAACTTTCTTTTAAGAAGGACTCGATGAAATCATTCATTCATTCTGTAAGACTTCTGATTTAATAGGTGGCTAAACAAGTACATGTAAGGTTAAAATGAGAAAGGTGCAAATAAAAGTATGGTGTACCTACTTCTAATAAAATATATTTTACTAAATAGCTATGTGTGAGATATTTTTAATTTGTAGCTAAAGCTGTCATCTTAATAATACCTTTTACATTTTTTAACTTTAAAAAATTGTCAAATATTTTAGTGAATTATTTTTGAAAAGGCTGTTTCTAAAGGGAAACACCTGGAGTTTTACCTTTTTAAGTTAAAACTAATGCATACATTACTAAGCATTCAAACACACACACAAAAACCTGTACTAGAGAAGCAGTAAAGAATCTGTAAACACGATTTATCTATTTTTTTAAAATAGGGAACTTTCCTTTTCGCACCATTTTTAGGGATCAGTGTCCTTGGGAGGGTGATTTTTAAATATGAGCTGAGTCAGGCAGAAAGATACACTGAAGAACCTTCTATGTCTTCATCTGTGGGAAATGACCCCTAGTTTAGTCAGAAACTACATTAGACTGCACAAAAGCCATCCAGTGCCCTTGTCAGAAAAAATTAGCAAGTATTTCTACTGAGAAGAGGCCAAAGCTCACGGTTTACCTAGCACTGTTGGAAAGCTTGTAACAGCTACATAAAGATCTAACGTGCCATAGAAATGAATGTCTTTGGGTGGCATAAGGGTTAATGTTTGGTCCTAGAGTGTGCTCTGAAATGTAGTTTTCTTCAGTGGTTTGTTCAAATCATTAATAAGGTACAGAATGAAATATTTTTCATGAGTGCTTCACTGGTTATCAGTAACCCATAAGCCTTGTTTTGCTGGCTGCTTACTGGTGCATTTAATAAAATAAAGATCACTCAGTGGTGCCGTGGGCAGCATGCAAGGTGATAGCCATATTTGCTTACTGTAAATACAAGAGAAAATCACCCACAAACCGGCTGTAGTTTTGACAAGTATTAAGATCCCTCTTTACATCTGTACTTCTGTACCAAAGTGCAATTAGTTTTCCTCGCACAAGGATTTCTGTTTATCTTATTCTGCTTGATTACTTGAGTATAATCACACCATTTGCTTCATTGCTCCTGGTAGTAAGCTCCAGTTTTAAAAGGGGAGGATGCTTGTGTGTAAATTTACAGGATTCTGCTGTAAGACTCTTTAATTTATGCATCTGATGACAGCGTTTGTAAATTTTTTCCTTTTAATTTCCTTTCCACAAGGTTTGATTCATATACGGCAGATTCCTCGGCTTAATAACTTGATTTGTGATGAATCAGATGTCAAAGACTTAGCTTTTAAATTAAAAAGGAAGCTATTCACCATTGAGGTAAGAGAATTTTTATGTTTTAGTTTACAGTCTTGAGGTAAATAGTATCTCCCTCTCCCTGCCTTTTTTTTACTTTAATGAAATGCTTAGGACATGTTTCATGCTAAATATTTTAAAGTTTTTTTGGTGTAACAGAATAATTTTTTAGACTTTCTTTTACTTAGTGGTGTATCATCAGAGTATAGTAAAAATGATTTTGTTTTAAATGTCTATTAAAAGTTAGCTCTAAACTTACATGATAAATATGACGTGCATATTTCCAAGGCTTTCAAAAGCATATTTAATTAAATGTTAATGAGCTATGCTTACTTGTGTGTGGAATGTGAATGCTACCACAATTGTGTATGGCTAAGAGGATTCTTATCTACATTTTAAAAGCATTTTTCTTTACTATTATTGAAATTACCTTTTGCTTTCCATGCAGAATTGAACAGAGTATAATTTACACTGGTGTCTTTAAGTAAATTTCCTACAACACTTAAACTTTTTTTGTAGCCTTTATGCAAGCAATGGTGACAGAAAGTAGTAGTACAAAAGATTTATTTCAACTTAATCTTGCTAAAGAGCAAATGAACAGAGAACTATTAAGCAATTAGAATTGATGTATTTATTAACGAAGTAAATGCTCAGAGAGCAATGGCTTTCGGGTGATGTGATAGTTATCAGTATAGTCGGTGCAATTTTTTTTAACAAAGACATAAAACAGCCAAGCAGCCTTGACAAACCATTTTGTTTAATCTCTTTTCAAATGAAAAGCTCTTAAGCAGGCCACTTGTCTTAACTGCTTGAAACCATTAAAAAGAGAGAATTGCCACCAATAAATTAGCATATTTTTAACTTCATCACCGAAGGATGGTCAATGTGGCTTGGCACTGCTTTGGTGTTTGGGACTTCACCCTTAAGTGACCACTTTGGCCCTTTTTTGACCCTTTGCCCTCTTTAAGCTGGCCACTTGATAAGGTAACTTAATGGTTCTCTCTTTTTCTCTTTCCCTTCACATTTGCAAGTAGCACTAACCTATAAATCATTGTAAGGGCCCTATCCAGTGACAAATTAATGTGCCCTCCTCCTAATTAATGGTCATCAATGTCCTTAATTATCTAATCCTATTGAGAGCAGTTAATAGTTAATCAGGCAGCCAGTTCTTCAAGCAGGTCATCTCTGCAGGAGTGTTAGAAGTTTCTCATCTGGGATACTCCCTTCAAAAGCCACTTAAAGCCAAAAGAGCGAGAGTGTAGAAATAGTGATCCTTGAGCTAATTTGCTTTAGTTCTCAAAAGAAACCATTGAAATGGAACTCAACACTGTAATTGTTCAAACATTGTTTCACTTTTTCTGGTAGAATACCGAGTAATTTACCATAATATTGCTTAAAACTTTTAGAGGGATAAAGTTTAGTATCATGAGGATACCATGCTTATCATTTTCTTTTAAGTTGCATTTATATTTTTAATGAAAGATATGTTTTTTCCCTCTGTGTGGCACTTTTCCCCCCAAATTTCTATTCTGATAACCACATCTAAGGTATCATTTCTATTACCATACAAACTAAGCAAGGTGATCCCCCAGTGAAAACAAATATTGTGACCAGGGAAGAAAGAAGTACAGTAGTATGAATCATGTTTATGAACTCTCTGTATCTCTCCTTCTCTTTCTCTTTCTCATTGGGTCTTATTGGGAGTTGGAGGGGAAGGAAATAAAAAACTTACTTAATGTCAAGTGAAACCTTTCCTTTGAATAACTTTAGTTTCTAATCGTTACCACAATTTACCATTGGTGCTGATCAGAGACCTTTTATTAACCACACGGGTTTCTGTTTCATTTTCTCACTTCTTCCTACTATGCTAAACTAAGAATCATTATAATTGGTCACCCTGTGGTTTGTAAGCAATATTTGGAAAAAAAAAAAAAAACCCACAGATGATTGTTTTTTAAAAAGCTAATATTCAATATAATTGATCAAATCCTGTACCTTTTTTGGCTCATAATCTAGCCAGTAATTTTTTTGTTTTTGTTTTTTATAGAAATATAGGTGAAACATATTCTAAATAACTGATTAACTT